GAGATTCCAGCATCCTTTTTTTAAAAATTTTTTAATGTTAATTCATTTTTGAAAGAGAACAGAGCATGAGTGGGGGAGGGGCAGAGAGAGAGGGAGACAGGATCCGAAGCAGGCTCCAGGCTCTGAGCTGTCAACACAGAGCCCAACGCAGGGCTTGAGCTCACTGACCGCAAGGTTCTGACCTGAGCCGAAGTCAGACAATCAACCAACTGAGCCACCCAGGCGCCCCTCCAGCATTCTTTTTATGGCAAGAAGTTGCCCATGGGCTAGAGGTGAGGGATGAAACTGTCACCAGGACAAGGAGCATGCACTTCATCTACACCAATAAGCCAGTATTTCCAGTAACCACTAAGAAAAGTTACCTTCAGTAGCTTCTCCCCTGTGCCAACACTGTTCTACACACTTAGATGGATTCTTTCATTCAATCCTTATGCTTTCCCTTAGAGTAGTATTAGGAGCTTCCCATTTGCAGAGAAGGCTCAGAGACGTTAAATAACTTGCCCAAAGCCACCAAGCTAGAAAATGGCAAAGCCAGACTTCTTACCCCACCAATCCTGAGTTCATCCTCTTAGCCACTTCACTAGGAAGGTTTCTTTTAAAGGTTAAAAAAAAAAGGTCGGCCGGCACCTGGGTGCCTCAATCAGTTAAGCCCCAGACTCTTGGTTTCAGCTCAGGTTATGATCTAACGATTTGTGAGTTTGAGCCCCTCGGTGGGCTCTGTGCTGACAGCTCAGACCCTACTTGGGATCTCCTCCCTCTTTCTATGCTCTCTCTCTCTCTCAAAATAAACAAACTTAAAAAAATTTAAAGTTAAAAAAGAAAAAAATGCACACACACCCGTACACACACATACACTTTTTAGAACCACTGATGGGAAAACATACATAATGACAAAATTCCGTAAAATAGGCAGTACTTTTAAAGAAACATGTGTTTTCTTCATTAAAATAACATCTACATATACTGGGAAAGTGTCTTGTGTACATCGTAAGGCCCATTGTTTATTTAATCCAGAGACAGCGTCTGGTGTGCGCTTGAATTTTTCTGACCCTTGGCAATATTTGAAGCCCTCATGGTTTGGGAGGATCTGGTCCTTCCTCTCAGAATATAGCTGGCAAAAACAGTCTACGGATGCTGAAAATAAATGTGATGTTTAAAGGCAGCACTGTTGACGATCAGCAGAAGTGGGTTCAGGAACCAGAACTCTGATCCTAGCTTTGCCAATTTGTTCCCTCTGCTATTCCTCAACATCTACTATAAAAAGAGAACTGATCAAAGCTTCCTACCTCTTGAGGAGACTAGAGTCAGAACGGGAAGCAGCCTTGGAGGTGACCTGTCTCATGGGGAAGGCTCACATCCAAAGCACCCTAGATAGCCTCTGCTTAAGCTACTCGACCATGAGAGAGGACCAGTGCCTGGATGGACTGAGAGCACTGTTTGAACCTTTTCTGGGGGCCCTTCATTCTACTCATCCATTCGGATTTCATGCTGTAGAACCACTGTGAAAAAGCTCAGTCATTCTACCTGGAAGCTCCTTCATTAATGCCACACTAGCACTCTGTTTCTAGGCAAGATGTTCTGTTTTCACTCTCCCTATAGAAGGCTCTCCTGTATCGTCATCATCAACCACCTTCTCAAAGCCCAGTGGCCAGAACCAAAAATGATATGCCACTTGTCTCTCAATAATAATAGGACCACAGTATACTCTGAGCTGTTTTTTCCTATCCTTATGGGATGGGCAGAAGATCTACAAGAGAAGGTGTAAGTCAACAGTTATCTGATAAAAAAAACTGAAGGCTGGTGCATGTAGGAGAGTGGATGGTTTTCATTCATGACATACAACATGACTTATCTTCCCAAACTGCTTTGAAAGGAATAAAGTTTGACTGGTGTCATTCTCTGGATTGAAACTGCATGTTAGTGGTAAATGGAGTAGGCGTGTTTAAAGGTTGATCGTTTCAGCTGTAGCAAAACTCCTACCAACTGCCAAGCACTGACGCCACAGAGCAAAGGAGACAGTTTCCAGCTGAGAATTATTTTGCCAGCACCTGCCCCAACCACTGATGTTTCAATCCCTCAGACATTTCTACCATGGGTGAGGAGATCGGGAGTTCCAAAGGGAAAACTGGAGTTCGGGGGACCACGTGTGAGTTCTCCCTTCTCTGCCATCTGGCCTAGACCATGAGCAAACACATTCTTAAATTCTGTGGGGTTCAGTGCTCTCCATTGTAAATGGAGATACTTCCTGGTCCCCATTTTGCAGGGTGGCCGAAAGAAGAAGCTGTCCATGAGTGTGCTTTGCCAAGTGAAAAACATCACATCAATGTCAGGTATTGTAGATGAGGGAGACTTGGAAAAAAAAGGGGAACCCACTTCTTGCCCAAACTAAATTCTGCAACCAGAATGGACGAGAGAGATTTGGTATTGGGGATTGTTTAGTAGAAATGCTAATTGTGCAAAATCTGGAAAGCTTTCCTGATATCTCTTTAAAAATAATGAATGTTTATTCTTGAGAGATAGAGAGAGACAGAGCATGAGCATGAGCTGGGGAAGGAGCAGAGAGAGAGAGAGAGAGAGAGAGAGAGAGAGAGAACTGAACCAGGCTCCAGGCTATCAGCACAGAGCCCGACATGAGGCTTGAACTCATTAATTGCAAGATCATGACCTGAGCCGAGATCAGACGCTTAACAGACTGAGCCACCCAGGTGCATCCCTCCTGATATGCCTTTAATGGCCCAAAATGGCCATTTTCCTTTCACCTACCATCCTTTGCAGGAAGAGCTTTCAGAGTGTTGGATTTCACAATGACTCGTGCAACGACTTCTCAATCTGGCCATTCCCCTGCTTATTCCTGAACCACCCTGAAGCCATCACTGGTCACTTGTTTTCTCTCCTTCCTTCCTTCTGCGCATTTTCCCTGAGCGCCCTTTCTAAGCCAGGTACCAAGTGAGTCACTAGGGAGACAGCTGTGAGCAAGACATGACATTCTGTGGGAGACAGATATTGCACAAAATTACTGAATTACAGTTGCAGTCCACACTGCAAAGAAAAAGTGTAGGGTTTTAAGAGCATCGTTAGCAAGAGTATCTAGGATTTCCCTTGAGTGCTAGTGCAGACTCCGGGTCTTCAGATGCATTGCCCTCTCAAGGATTAACTAATCGATGTGTGTGGTCAGCCGTTTAAAGTTTATGAAGCACTTTCTCATATGTTTTTTTTTCCACTGGGTTGGCCTCTCAGCCCTACGAAGTGCACAGAATCATCACCCAGTTCTAGAAACCAAGTCTATGGGACTTGACATGACTCGGGGTCAGCTAGTCCTGCCACTTTCAGAATAGTTTCCTCTTAATCCTCAGTTCTTGCCAACCCCCCCCCAACACCCTTTTGGTTCACTGGCTTCTCTCCCTTGGGAGTTGGTATTTTGAAAAGGAGTTTTAGGAAAAGAGCAATCGGAGAAAATAGGGAAAATGACACTTTCTTGGGAGACATGTGGGTAGAAGCTGTGATTCCTGATATTGGTCTCAGCCAAGTGGCAAGAGGAAGCCTACCTGTGATGTGAAAGATGTTCTTACTGCTTTGTGTGCATGCAGAGCCCACTTATGAACTGAGCTTATGGATTGATCATCTTTGTTCCATTCATTCCATGCCTACTATGTCCCAGAAGGTATATCCATTCACCTTTAGATCACCCAGCTGAAGTATCTGGTAGTATGTCTGCACTTGGCCGATGAGGTACCCGAGGCTCAGAGAGATGAAGTAACTTGCCTAAGGTCACACAGCTTGTAAGTCATAGAGCTAGGATTCAAACTCACACCTGACTCCAAATTCCATACTCTCAAACACTGTACCACACACTCTCCCTGAAAACTGAAAACAAATTCCATAACCACGTCCTGCACTTCCCATCTGGGATTTTTAGTATTTAAAACCAAGAGACACAATGGTAGCCTTGGGACAGGCTTTGAAAGGTTCTGGTACTCTCTCACCCCCACCCACAGACACCTGTCACCCTCTGGGTTAAGGATGCCCACCCACCACACCGTGTCTTCTTTAAAACACTGAACTGAAACCCAAGGATTCCATTAAGACAATCCTGTGGCCAAAGGACAAAAAGACCCAAAATACAAAAAGTAGCGGCAGCCTTAGTTGCTTTTCTAGACTAGCGAGCAAGCCCTCCACTGATCAGTTTTGGGTTAGGTAGTTACTTTTCTCCTTTTTATTTAATTTTTTTAATTAAAAAAAATTTTAACTTTACTTCTGAGATTGAGAAACAGCATGAGCAGGAGAGGGTCAGAGAGAGAGGGAGACACAGAATCCGAAGCAGGCTCCAGGCTCTGAGCTAGCTGTCAACACAGCGCCCGACGTGGGGCTCGAACCCACGAACTGCGAGATCATGACCTGAGCTGAAGTCGGAAGCTTAACCGACTGAGCCACCCAGGCGCCCCACTTTTTTTCCTTTTTAAAGGGACAGAGGAACATGCAAAATTCCCACACTAGCCACAGGATCCGAATCAGTAAATATTTGCTTGCCTTTTCTTTTTTCTATTCTTTTCTTTGTTTTGCTTTCCTTTTTTCTTTCCTTCCTTCCTTCCTTCCTTCCTTCCTTCCTTCCTTCCTTCCTTCCTTCCTTCCTTCCTTCCTTCCTTTCTTTCTTTCTTTCTTTCTTTCTTTCTTTTCTCCCTTCCTTCCTTTTCTTCCATCCATCCATCCATCCATCCATCTTTCCTCCCTCCCTCCCTCTTTACCCTCCTTCCTCTCCCATTCACTCCCTTCCTTCCCCTCTTTCTCCCTCCCTCTCTCTTTTCTCTCTTTATCCCTCCAAAGCCATAGCTACAACTTGGGAAAGAGAATGGCCCTCACATTTTATTTTTAGTACCTTTCTGTGTTTCCTGGTCTGCGCCGTGTGCCAGTGTATCGTGTGAACTGATGGTGACACAGCACTGAGCTGTGGACAGTGAAGCATGAACACCTGCCTCACTTCTGCCCTCTTCTCTCCTCCTCAGGTGAAGGCAGCTTCCAAATATGTGGATGTACCTGTGAGTATTTGAAAATTGCTTTTGTGAGTTTGGTTTCATTTTGTTCTTTTTGTTGTTGTTGTTTTGTTTTTTTGCTTTCATGGGAAACTTAATGATGTTGTTTTCATTAGTTGCTACCAAATCATACATTCCTGACTTGAGTCACCAGAAAGAGAGAAGCCAGGAGTATTTTTCATGATAAAACTTTTTTTTTTTTTTAGATAAGAAGAAGGTACAGTTTCTTTCATCCAGAAGAGGGATCCTGTTTGAGAGCAAACCCAGTAGCCTTTCATTTCATTTTCCTGGGTCTCTCTGGTACAGTTCATTCTGTATCGGCTTACTCACCTCCCTCCCACGTGCACACCTTGGGAGTCACCAGGAGCTAGAAATTTGCGCACAAGGGCGCCAGTATTTTTTTTTAAACAAATAAATTCTGAATTTGTTCATTTTGGGGTCAGTTCTGCAGTTGTTTTAAGGAAACCTTACAAAACTGCTTATAATTAGTGCAGACCTCATTAATGAAGAGAGCTCTCAAAGTTCACAGATAGAGCACTTGTGGTTGGCCAAAATTTACATTTAAATTGAGGTTAAGTACTGCACATGAATGCTAGAGTGCGGGATTACCTGTGATAAGTCAGGATACATTTATAGACAGACTTTGCCCTGCCTATTAGCAAAGTAAAATTGGAGAGATTTAAATATTTTCCAATAAAAGGGAAAAGAAAATGATTCTGTTTCTCCATTTCTAACAAAAGAGGTGTGAGTCTATTATAAAATATTAAATTTAGAGGGCTTATCTCAACAGCCACCAAGGGTCTTGTACTGAACGTTTCTCATTCTGAACGTGGTTAAGTACCCTCCTTGTTCAAATACTTATTTGTTAAAATTTGTTTTTTTCTAAAAGGATTTATATTAACATTTAAATTCATTTCCCCAGGAAGCTAAGTATGTAATCGTTTATTGGCTTATTTCTCAAAGGATGGCAAAATGGAAAATTGGAGTGAATTTAGCATTAGCATACATTTTGTTTGTTTAATGAGAGAATGTACAATCAATAATTATGCTTTGAATTTATATAATACTTCTCTTTGAAGGACCTCAGACTCCTTCATATAAATAGTCTTTATAATGAAGAAGAGAAAAAAGCTCATGCGTAACTACAGCCAGGAGAGGCGTTAAGTAATGTATTTTCCCAAGCACAGAAGTATAAACTTGCAGTTCACATAGAGCAAATTACTCAAATTCTCTGGGCCTGTTTCACCGTCCTTAAAAGAGAGGTAATAAGGGGCGCCTGGGTGGCTCTGTCGGTTAAGCATCTGACTTCGGCTCAGGTCATGAGCTCATGGTTTGTGGGTTTGAGCCCTGCATCGGGCTCTGTGCTGATAACTCAAGGCCTGGAGCCTGCTTTGGATTCTGTGTCTCCCCTTCTCTCTGCTCCTCCTCCGCTCATTCTCTCTCTCTTTCCTCTGAAAGATGAATAAATTTTTTTTTTTAAAAAAAGAGAGAGGTAATAATACCCAAGTCACAGGTTTGCTATGCAGATTAAATGACACACAGATACGGAACGCTCAGCACTGTACCTGGCACTGCCTAGACATTTCAGCAGCAGGATCAGAGCCCGTGGGCAGGGGAGAAGGGGATGCTCACACTGTGTTGCACGGTGGCAGGGAGAGAGGATGCCGACAGCAGGCCTGACCTGCGCGGGTCTGCGGTGGTGCTAGAAATTGAAATTCCAGGCTCCCAGCCCAAAGATCTGGTTTCTCTTGGCCTCCAAGTCGAGGGGAGATCTCCCCAGTAAAGTGTGAACAGGTGCCCAGCAGGCAAGACCCAACTACCTAGAGAAAGTTGATCCGTCCATCGTTACTATCAACAGAAGTGATGGGAGGGGGGGCAAATTATCTCAGGGAGAGGGTCAAAAGAGTCAAATATCAGCGATTTCATGTGTTTTCCACCTACTTCCTAGAAACCGGGTTTAGATTTATTGTAAAGATAACTAGGCAGGGGGAGGGGAGGGAAATGGGCTCTACATCTACGCGAAAGGGAACAAAAATGAAATAGCAATTTGCATCCTCTAGAGAGACAGAAGAAAATGCTGCAGCATGTTCCAGAATTTACCACTGCAAATACAATACCAATATTTGCAATTTACCCATTGCAAATATAATAATTGCAATTGCAGCCAAGCCTCCTAAAGCATTCCCTGTGTGCTAAGCACTGTTCTAAGGTAAGCATTTAACATGTCATCTTCATGACGACCCCACTTTAAAGATGAGGAAACTGAGACACACAGATGTTAATTTACTCAGGTTCCCACTGCTGGGAAGTGGCCGAGCTGAGATTTTAACCAGTCGTGTTAAACAGTATGCCGTCTGCATAGATGATTTTACTTAGTGCATAGGCAGATGTCTTTATGAGGATAATTGAGCAATTATTTAAGGAGTATTGGAAAAAAATGTGGTTAGCACATCAAATCCATGATTTCACCAATTATTATGGCTTAGGACAAAGATAAACTTTAAAATTAAATTGATTAACATCTTTTTTTATTTTGTTATCGTTTATTCATTTTTGAAAGACAGAGAGAGACAGAGCATGTGTGGGGACGGGCAGAGGGAGAGAGGGAGACACAGAATCTGAAGCAGGCTTCAGGTTCTGAGCTGTCAGCACAGAGCCCGACGTAGGGTTCGAACTCACGAACCAAAGATCATGCCCTGAGCTGAAGTCGGATGCTTATGTGACTGAGACACCCAGGCACCCCAATTAACATATATTTCTATAGCAAATAACATCATAGCGAGATATTGTGTTTTAGTAAATAAACAATTTTATAGAAAATAGTAGCACATAATGCTCAGGCGTACTATCTGTGCGTTGTTTTCATATGGCAAATTACAGTAATCATTTGCTTCTCAAAACAACTTTATGAGAAGCGAATGGTATCACCCTGCTTCACAGGTGAGGAAATGGAGGCATAGGGCGGTTAAGAGCATATCCAGCGTCACCTGCTAGGAAATCAGAGCGTGAGGAAAGTTTAAGTGCCAGCAGTTTGACTATGGAAAGGCTGCTAGCACTGCCTTTCAGGAGTCAGCTCTGTGCATTTTTTTCCAACCATGCCTTCCGTCGGGGCCATTGGTGGTGGAACTCAGCCAGGGAGGGGATATTTACACTGTGGAAATTGGCAGGTGCCATGTTTTGTTGTTTCTGTCTTCTGGGGTTTTATGTTGTTTGTTTGTTTTTGTTTTTTTCCTTATCTTCTGTTTTGAAGAGCCAGTGTCCTGGCACACCGGGGATGATCACCTATTTAAATCACGTGTCCTCACTCCAGAATGTGCAGCGTTAATACTTGGCAGTGTTTGGGGAGGGGAGGAGTTGTCTTTTGTCTTTTTTAAGTAGAGATTTCCAGCCCCTTCTGTTCAGAGATTCTCCTTCAATAGTTGGGGGGAAGAGGAGGCGCAGAGCCTGGAAATCTCTTTCCAAAGAGCTGATCTGATAGTGCAAGTTCGGGAACCCGTGGACTGGATCAGTAAGGCTGGACCATGGCTACATATGAGAAACACCTGGGGAGCCTTTACAAGTATTGGCGCCAGGTTGCTTGCCAAAATAGAACAATTTCTGGAGTGTGGGGTCTTGGCATTAGAATTGCTCAAAGCTCCCCAGGTCCTTTTCATTTGCAGCCAGGTTTAAGACCTATGGATCAAATCGTCTTCTGAGTTGTTTCTGGCTCTGAAGTCTCTGAGTTCTTCTGTGTGGCCCTGTGAGGTTTTTGGCACACGGTTTATTGGTTTAGTTCCTTGTGGGGACTAGTCGTTAGTGACATTAGAGATTTGTCTCTTAATTATCTGCACTAATGGAGAGAAGTGGCTGTCTCCAGTCATTCAAAACATGGTGTAATCCCCAAAGCCTATCTCTTTGTCTTCGATGTAGTATTTGACCCTTCCATATATACATAACAGATTTGCATTTCTAATTAGGGGTTGCTTAGGTTACTGAAAATTTGAATTCATTTTCAAGCACAGAAGTACCTGGTAGGGGCAAGCTATGATTAAAATGTCCTATTTTTCCTAAGCCACAGAGTGGCTTCTTCGCAAATGATATCTTCCACACGTGGAGGGAGCTAACTATACGGAGATTATCTGTTTGTTTTATACTTTTGCTAAAATCGACATCCCGGCCTGTCCAAGCCACATTTGAAATAAACAATGTACAATACTAAACACCATCACCTGAAGCTTAGAAAGCACTATGGTGTAGAGGTCACCTGGGTGGCTCAGTCTGTTAAGTGGCCAACTTTGGCTCAGATTCATGATCTCACGGTTCGTGGGTTCGAGGCCCTCATCGAGCTCTGTGAGCTGACAGCTCAGAACCTGGAGCCTGCTTCGGATCCTGTGTCTCCCTCTCTCTGCCCCTCCCCCACTTATGCTCTGTCTCTGTCTCTGTCTCTCAAAGGTGAATAAATGTTTAAAAAAAAAAAAAAAGAAAGCTCTATGGTATAAAGCCTAATTTATCTAATAGCATCAGTCATTTAGCCAGAATATTTTCCATGGATCATTACAAGCTAGCTTGCCTGTCTGTGAACCATTTGGGTTGGAAATCTACCTAGACTTCATTACACATCCTTCTCTGGCTATGTAAACATAAAACTGTATTTCAACCCTCCCTCAATGGCAAAGGATCACCTCTGTGACTGTCTTTCCCCAGTAGGCACATAGGCTACCCACAGGGCCTCCAGAGGTGTAGAGGCAGCTTGCCTCTGCCCTTGGTAGTCCCAGACCCCAGTGGCTGGTGAGTCTACCTGTCTGATGCTGCAGTTTGCAAAGGGCATCAGGCAGAGTGATGGTGCTCTGTTACCAGCACATCTGTTTCAAACTGTTACCCCTTCCTGGCCCACTGAAGGAGGGGAGAGAAGCTTGTTGGCTTTGGATGTAAAGCTGGTGAGAAAGGAAGAAGGTTGTGAGTGGAGGCCTGGGGACTCTATTATAAGGAAACTGTGTGTTGGCACACAGAGACTTGGTCCTCTTCATTTTCATGTTGATTTCTCTCAAGCCCCTTTTTTTCTTCTTGGTTCCAAAGTAGATTCTAAAGGTAGGTAAGGCCGTGAAGTGATACAGTATTGTGGGGTGGACGGATGGAATCAGAGTGGGTCAGGTTTGTATAGCAATTAGTGCTTTTATGGTATCATGACTTACATTATTTTTTAACTGATTGTAACAACCCTTGAAGGTAAGTAGGAGAGTTATTATTAATCCCACTTTACAGTTGGTATAACTAAGACCCAGAGAAATTTAAATGATGTTCACAAGCTCCAGTTGGTGGGGGATATAATAAAAATTCATGCAGTGTGACTGAAGAGCTTAAGAAAAAAAGCAATGGGAAAGGCGCTTATTCATTCACGGGGTTGTTCATTCAGCAAATATTTACTGAGTACCTACTGTGTGCCAGGCATCATTCTGTGTGCTAAGGATATGATAGAAAATAGATCAAATAGAGCCCCTATATGTGTGAAGTTATGTTTCAGTGCGAGAAGACAGAAAAAAGCAAATAAGCAGATACGTAGCACAATGTTAGGTACTGGTACACGTGATGGAGAAAAAGAAGGGTCGAAAGGTAGAGAACCACAGAGGCGAGATAACTACCGAGGTGAGAAACCATCCTGATTTTTTTTTATCAAAGTTTTAAAAACTTAAATAAAACGCCCCTTGACGACAGCAAATTTGGTGACGAGAGAAGAAACAGGTGAAAATAACCATTCTTCTAGGTTACTACCTTTGCCGGTTACGAACAGGGCTGCTGAAATGAGCTTTGAATCTTAGCTCTAAGATGGTTGCATGTGTCCAGCAAAAGGCCATATTTTCCGCCTCCGGAATCACCAGGGAAGAAATGGAAACAGTAGTAATAAGTTTCTCAAGTCCTCCAAGTGGGGGGTCCCCATCCCTACTGAGAATGCCCTTTGATATGCGGCTGCCAAAGGGAGAGAAGGAGAGAGGTGCCAGTTTAGAACTGATATCTATCACTTACATCTCATTGGAGAACCTCTATTGTTTCGTATCATAAAACTGCAACAATTATAGGACCATCACGGAACCTGCTCAATCCATTTGCTGAAAATTGCTTGAAAGTGTAACAGTTGACTACTGTGGCTTTGAATTGTCCTCATTGTTTTTCAAATTAATACCTTGTCATTGTTCCAGCAGGTGTTAAGAAATGTTACTAGCATCCCAGGGGCCAACCATTGGCCCTTTCCTTGATAATTGTTTGCTTTGTATCACGGGGGGCTGGGGGGGGTGGGGGGGGAGTGGGGGAATACAGTCCTACTGTTTCCAAACCTTCCTCATTTTCACCCTGGAAATTACACAGAAGTGTTAACTAACTTCAATTTGCAGTGCCTGACAGTCACGTCTTGTAGAGAAATGATACTTTGTGATCTAAGGTAAATCACAGTAATGAAAACTAATCTTGTTTAGTTATTAGCAAACATACATGTCTGCTGTGGAAATTTAAGCGGTTTGTGGCAGCTTTCCTGATGGCCTATGTTACATTGTCTTAATAGGTTTCTTTGGACATATCTTTGATTGCAACATCTCAAGCAGTGTGCATCTCTCTCTTTTTTATTATTAGTATTTTCTCACAATAAATTATTTCTTGACTCCGGCGGAACCACCTGCTTACCTTTCCAGAAAATCTCATTTATTTAAAAATCAAATCTGTGGTCCTCCTCCTCAGCTCCCGCTTTTTACAATTTTTGGACCAGAAGGCTGCGCTGGGATACAAAGGCAAATTAAGAGGTTGAATGTCTCCTCCCAGTAAACTGATTAGGAAATATTCACTACATACTCAGGTTAAAGTATTCCTTCCCCACCCCCGCCCGCCCCACACCCCCCAAAAAAACATGTGGCTTCGGTAGGAGGAGATGTATGCTAAAATATAATTTCTTTACTTAGCATTTTCTCCATTTTTTAAAGAAGAAAAAAAGATCGAGGAAGGCTGTCACCTTTCCAATGTTATATTAAGGACAGACAGTGGAAGACAGAGTCTGTTTGGGTATTCTTAAGTGGGGGTTTCAATCCAAAGAAAAGCCAGAGGGTGTCCCTGTGCGATCCAGTGATGGTTTATCCATTGCCGTATCTATACTGGAAAAAAGAAATTAATAGTATACAAAATAACTGTAAAGCCCTGTAATCCCAACTCCCGTTCTTAGCCAGGTTTGATTCCTGGAAAGAGCAGGAGGCTCAAATAACAGCTCTTAGCAGTCCAGGCTGTGGATAGCTCCACAGTATATGATGAATAGCTTCAAATTCCAGCCAAGGCAGCGTGGGGTGGCGTAGGGTGGGGTGGGGAGCCTGAAATGCATGAGTCATCAAGGAAGTCACTGTCTGAAAATTCCATTTTCATGTTTTCCTGTCTCTTTGCAGAAACCCGGGATGGACGTGGCCGACGCCTATGTCACTTTCGTCCGTCACTCTCAGGATGTCCTCCGTGATAAGGTCAATGAGGAGATGTATATAGAAAGGTTATTTGATGTAAGTAAATGCCTTCTCCTCCTTGAAGACCAAGGAGGAGACCCTCCAAAATGTGACAAAATAAGAGACAGGAGGATAAGTCACATTTTGAGAAAATGGATTGGTCCCGACTCGAGCAGTATCTTTTCCTTTCCCTCTGCCTTAGGCTCTTATCTGTCGCGTGTCTGTCCTGAACCCACTCTGGCGTGGCCGTGTCTCAGTCCCAATCTGTGTGATACGTAGGACGGCACACAGTCGCTCTCAGCGAGCAGCCTCGTTTCTGCACGAAGCTTGTGAGGCAGCTTTCTGTAACTGGCAGAGACCTTTCTGGTTCAAGGTCCTCCTCGCAATCTGGCCTTGCCTTAGGGAGGTGTTCTCGTCAGGGAGGCTGACACAGCCCCGTCTCCTGAGGGTGGGGCCTCCCTCCCTGACCCCAGCCGTGGCTTGCAGATGTACAGGAGGTGGTGCATCATTATCCTTCCAAGATGATTCTGTTTCTGGAAGCCTGGAAATGCTGCATTAGCCCTGGCTTTGCGCACACTCTCGTAAGTGAGCTAGACTTGCTCAGCCAGTGTGGTCTTAAACCAGGGCGCCCTCTGCCCACCCACCCACTTGAAAACTCAGGAGAAGCAGCAGCGATACGAAGAGCAGGTATATCAGGCTGCCAGACCCAGACCAAAACTTGAGAAAATGCAGCTTTCTGAGGATTAATAGCTATCAAGCAATCTTATTTCTGCTGTGACTACATCTGCACTTCCAAAGCAAGCCACTGAGGCAAAAAGAAAAAAAAAAAAAAAGGAATCTGCTTTGGTCTCAAACTCCCTGCCTCTTTCAGGCCAAAGCAGATGGGGCTGCCTAATTTAGCCAGATATTTTGTTTCGAGTTTCCACTGAATTTGCCAGTGTAGACCCGGCCAGAGTGCATGGAAACTGACGTACTTGTCTCCGTGTGGCTCTAATTGTGCAGCCTACTTCTGTCTCGTGAAGCGTGAGCTCCTGTCCAGGTTCTCGTATATTTTTAGTGCCAGCCCGAACATTAATGTTTTGGTCTACGATGGAATCCGTGTTTCTATATTTTTTCTGTGATTGTGTTCAGCAATTTACATTGAGTTTGTGCGTGTGTGTGTGCGCGTGTTTTTGTTCCATGGCTAAGTGAGCTCATTGTTGGCAGTGCTCAGGACTCCGCCGCTTCTGACTTGTCTAGGCTTTGTCTTCCAGCTCATTTGCTTTCCTCGTGTGTTGAAAAGGCCCCTTTCTTTCTTTCTTTTTTTTTTTTTTTCTTTTCCAATCATCCCCTCTCTGTGCTCGATATCGCTCTTTTCCTCTGCATAACCTTTCCTCGAGACAACCCTTCTTACTTTTTAATTCCCACCCGTCCTCCCTCGGATTAAAATGGAACTTATCTCTCATGTCAAATGTTTTATCACATTATATCAAGTGGCATGAATTAGAATCAAATAATCTTCCTGTGTACATCTTCTAGCATGGCCCACATCCACTGAGAATGCCTCATACATACATAAAACTCACCGACGGGTTCTCTCCCTTCTCTGCATGCGTGCCTTTATGAAAGTACTGAGCCTAGAATGCCCGGGGCACAACCACCCATCCAATAGGCATTGGAAAAAAGAGACAGGCACCACGCCGACATTGCAGTTAGGAGTGCGGACAGTCTGCCCATCTCCGCTGAATTAAATTCCAAACCACAAATTTTCACGAAGCCTGTGGATTGTTCTTTTCAATGCCTAGGTTGCCTTTTTTATTTCCTTTGATCAGTATCTTCTGATTCTCAGTTTTGTGTGGCTCTCACGTGCGTGTGCGTGTGCGATCCTGTGCGAGCGTGTGTGCAAATAACCTTGTGCTCTCCAAAACTTTAAGATATCTGGTACTGGATTTGATGTTTGATCTGCAGCTTAGCCTATTGCTTCCTCACAGATAAGCCACCCTTGCCTCTTCCTTTTTTTTTCTTTTTTTTCAGTTCAAATGAGAAGAGGCAAAAAAAAATTTTTAAGGTAGCCTTGTTGAAGGCAGCAAGGGAAATTGTCCCTTTTCTGTGGCTTTTTTTTTTTTTAAGGCAAGTGCAACTGAATTGTTAAAGAGTAGAGCCCTGGCGAGCGCAGATGGTCATGCTAGACTTGTCTGACCATCGTAGAATACAGTCACATTCAAGCCCTCTGGCTTTTCATGTGAATTAATAACAAAAAGACATATTTGCTAAGAATATGTTGCTCAGAAAGCAAATTATGTTTAGGGTCATTCAAAAACTCGCAAGTCTTTCTAGCCCCTTGTTGAATCACACTGACCAGCATAATACGGCATCCGTAATTCTGTGAGAATCCTCACCATTGAGTCTCACAGTTGTGCTAATCTTGTTTCCTGAGTGAGCGTTAGTTACACTCCCCAGAGTATCTGATTTTAAAGTCTTCACCATTACAATCGTCACTGAACATCACTCCCACCCCTGTGGAAAAAATTTTTTCAGTAGCTTATTTGAAGCTAATAAATTTCTTACCATTTACTTTCTTACTTTCCACATAACCTGCTGCCCTAATTTACAGAATATCGGTGCTAGGCAACCTAACTGATGTAGTGCAAAAAAAGTTATTGAATCTGTCATAGATTTAAAACAGTTGTCATTTGAAAAACCCAGAGCTTCTCAAAAAGCTTCATTACCATGCAGCCTCGGTAATTTAATTCAGTACTTACTGTTTTTCTATAATCTAGCAGCAAAACATCAGATTACCAACATGTTTGATTATTTTCGGCTTCTGTTTCCTCAAGCATGGTGTTTATGTCTTTGCATATACGCTCTGCAAGGCTCTCATGTCCACCGAGCTAAACGAGGGGAAGGGACTGTTAAGGCAGAAGGGTCTGTGAAACCTACCACCCTCAATTTCTTGCCACAGTGAACTTGTTCTTTAAACTCTGTTCCTTACCCATAGCGATCCTGGGGCAGGTTTCTAAACAATTGGCAGAAATCTCTTGAGAAAAACTTGTTGATCTGAGAAGTTGCTCTTCCAAATTGTTGCATTTTGATAAATGGCAAAAATGAATAATAGAAAATTAGCATTTTGAATGGGCGAAAAAATCTATATCTCTGAGATTGTTTGCTGTTTGGGGGTTGTTGATTCGGACTGTTGTGTCATTCTCTGGGTTTTAGTTCCGGCTGGCATCTGTCATTCAGACAGGCATGCTCTCAGAGATCCTCAGCAGTTTTCAGCTGTGTCTCAGTCTCAGCTTTATTTTACCTGAAAAGTCCTTAAAGTTCTTGCTATTTAGTTTTGTTAACCTTTTTTTTTTTTTTTTTTTTTTGCCTTTTTGAGCGTGCCTTGTAGAAAAGGCTGGATGGCAGTGTGTGTTTGCACCTGAGAACATTTGGATGAATAGCAGGTCATCTAATGAGTGCATCTTCCATTTTAACCAGGCTCCCTCTGATCTAGTATTCTCTCTGCCTTGTCATTGTACTTTTGGCTGGAATTGGGTGCTTGTGGGAGATTATCGGCATAGCATTTGGGGCTCTATATTTAATGTTCTGCATTTTTATCTATTTTATTATGTAACTTAAGAGGAGCATTCCAAATTCTTCTTCACCAACATTTTTTTTTAAACAGGCATTCTCTAGGCTTATTGAGGCAATACATCAGACATAACGTTGCCTAACCAGGTCTTTCTAATGCAGTGGAAGTTTCCCTGTTTATTAATAATTGATTTACACTATGCTTCTGTTAACTACTATCAACTTTTTAAAACCTGCACCTGAGAAGAAAACTAACTGATCCAAAATTAAGGACTGTTGGGGACACTGGGGTGGCTCAGTTGGTGAGGTGTCCGACTTCGACTCAGGTCATGAGCTCATGGCTCATGGGTTCGAGCCTCGCATCGGACTCTGTGCTGACAGCTCAGAGCCTGGAGCCTGCTTCAGATTCTGTGTCTCCCTCTCTCTCTGCCCCTCCCCCCCTTGTGCCCGCTCTCTCAAAAATAAATCAGCATTAAAAAAATAAAAAATAAATAAAATTAAGGACCGATTGGAAAAGAATCCTCAAGCAGCCTCCCATACCATTTCAGGCGTACAACTATACATTTCATCTGCATTTTTGTAATTTTTTCCTAAAAATAGGACATAACGATTTTAAACTGGTTTCAGTTGCTACAAAATACCAATGTAAAATATTTCAAAACAAAAGATTCAGAGATTTAAAGCAAGAGAATAGTCCATTATGTACAACAGCAAGGAATTTAAATTATATTAAAGATGCTGAATTTTTAAAGGAGAATCAGATAGCTGTCACACTCCAGGGGAAGCTTGGCCTCCTGGAAAATTATTGCTGACTTTTAAAGAAAATATAAAGCATGGATATGAAATAATCTCCATATTCCTAAAGCAGCAGCCGAAGAGGAAAGCAAAACCCAAGAAATAGCTTAAAGACAGTGATTTAAAGCTTGGGTGTCCATAAATCATGCAGATGTTCCCCCCCCCCCCCCCCCCCCCCTCCTTTTTTTTGATTAATTCAATATCTTCCCCAAAACAAAAACATGCTTTTTGAAATTAGAGATCAGATCATCAAGAGACGCACCTAAGATTTCAAGGTCTAAACAAAAATTAATTTATTTTCTTTCCTCCTTGTACTTCTTGAAGACACAGACTGAGAAGAAAATCAGGATTAAAAGAGATGTGCTTAGGGTGAATTCATCTGCTTAAACCTCGCAGACTCAGAGATGAGTGATTAAAAAACCATCTCGAACTTGGAAGGCATCCACGTTGGTGGTAATGCCCGATCCGCCCTGGCGTTCCCGAGGCCCTGTGCCGTTGTGAACCAGGCCTGGAGAACATTTGACTGGAGATGATACATGGATTATATAGGTCAATTATACACTTAATCTGCCTTCTGGAGGATTAAGTATTTGCAGATTGACTCTGCTTTTGGCTTCTCCGTGGCAGTTATCAGATCAGGAAAGGGCCCCTTACCAAACCCGCCGCGTAAGCACTTCATCCGGCAGTGCGGTCAGGTTGGGGTGGAGGGT